TACTGTTTCATTCAATTTTCACTCCTGGGAGTAGAAGCGGATATGAAAAGTGTACAGTTTTGTGTTGGGACTAAATGGAATGGTCTGAATATTAAGATGCGCAATGTGTTTCAGCTTTCGTGTTGTATATTGTTTATTGCACTAAGTGTTTAATGTTTGGCCATCACCTCATTTACTTTTTTTAGAAATCTTTTTTGATACTGTGTAGTTGGCATATTGTTTCTTTGCGGAAATGTTTTTAGTGATATACGAAAAACCATCTCGCGTCTAAGAATGTGTTTTGTGAGAGTAACCTTCGCAGTAAGTCACGATTCGTCTGTTAGCTACAATTACGAGACCTTGCAGACAGCCCCGTTTTCTAAAAAGTCACGTTTTTCGTGTTTTGTATACTAACTATACATTCCATTCGTTTCTCGGATCTTACTTTATTGCAGACCATGTCCCTAGTAATTTGATGTTTGGATTACAAACATTTTGAGATTGAACTCAATATTTTGGCTTAATTAAAATTTTATTTCTTTTGAGTACTTAGTTCTTAAATCTGGCAATTTTTTCTTTGCTTTTCAGAAATCTCGTACGTATTTCAGAGTAATTACGCCTCGAAGACGTTACCTCTCATTACTTGGAATTATTCAGTCGTCGCTCGAAATTAAGTTAATGATATCGTATCTTGTATCGTGCTCTAATTGTAACTTATGCCATTTGGGACTCAGAGTGTTGACTTCATTATTGTAATATTCCAGAGATATCTCACACATTTTAAACATTTAATCCTTTTAATGGGTGAAGTTTCTTTCGACAGGCTGTTTATTTTCCGTGAATACATCATGAATATGTTCACTGTCTCGCAATTACACTCTACAAGTCAGAAACGTAATGGTGAAGAGGAATAGTTCCTTAACATGATAATATTAGAGCACTTTTTGTCGTAATGTCGGCTGGCGATGAAAATTCCAGTAATTTGTCTCTAAATTAAACTTATGTGACTTTTGAAAGTATGTGCGTGAGGAATTGTGGAGATTGTTACTGTTTGTCTTTGCTAAGATGTTTCTGCATTACACGCATATGTGTGCGGTAGCGCAAGAAGAGTAATGTAACACGACACGGTTGCAATTGAGTGGTGGAGAGGCGTTGAATCGACTAAAATGTCGACTTTTTGTCGGATGCATGAAATTTTAATTTTCATCACCAATGCAAAAATTTGCAGCATAAATATTCTTAGTGTCTTAAAATTTATCACTTTGTTCACTTCAGAGTAATAAATAAGACAGCAGTTTGGTTGTAATATTGAAAATTTGTAAAAATAATCATAATGTAAAATTTCCCAGTTATTTGGCATTAAAGTTAAAATCCTTTCTTCATGCTTTTTTTCGCTTTTGTGACTCTTTGATCCCATTCAACAACTTAAACATTTGTCGTTTCTCGGTACTCAAAGTACGTTTTTGAGATGCAAATTTATTCTGTTCTTTTAGTAGTTAAGGAATTATTGTGCAAGTGTAACAAGATCTAAAGTGGAGGATGTGCTTACATTGAATGAGCTTCAGGCATCATTTTACCGAGATCCGTGCACCTCCGGAACAGCTCTATACGTTATATGCCATTAATATTTAGTGTTTGTGGTCTCGCTTGAAAACGTTTTCTGATTTATATAAAAAAGTACTCAAAATTCTCCCTCAGTCTGTTAATGTGTTAAAGAGATGGAAGGGGAAAAAATGAATTTATGAAGTTTCATTGCCTTCCTACAGACTATGCTATGTTGTCTTTAGAAAAGTGGAGAAACCTTAAATACTGGTAATGGTGAATAATATTTCGTTTAAATACACAAGAAGTAGTGCCTGATAAACGGATTAAATGAAGTATCTCTGAGAAATTGAAAAGGACAAACTTCGGATTCTTTTCCAATGTGTCAACAATCATTGAAAAATGTCTCTTGGTTATTATCTTTACTATTATCTATGCTTGTGAGAAAATTGCTTTGATATACTACAGCCAATTCCTATTAAAAATTGCTGTACACATGAAGAGAGATTGTCCGCGGGATCAGGGGACTTAACGAACCGCAGGGGTCACGCCCCCGCCCCCTTTGAGGAGACTGGCAGGTCGCGGGCGGTGGCGGCCCGGATGGCGCGCGAGCGTGGTAATTAGAAACAGTGCGGGGCATTGTCACGCTTTCACAGCGGCCAAAGAACTATGGCGGCGGCGGCGGAGGGTCGCGCTTCACTTGCACGGGTGGTCGGGCGTTGCCGGCGCCAACCCACCCGCCCCCTGTGGCGGCGGGAATCTCCTTGCCGCGTGATGGGAGTTGCAGAAGCTTTTGACGTTCAGCTTGTGTCCTATGAATTGCTTAGTGCATCGCGAAGATCATGGTAGAGTGACGCCATGGCCCTGATGGTGCAGTGTCGCTCTGGGTATGTTGCGCAACTTGAACACTCGTCATACTTTACTTTATATAGAAATCGAAAATGAATTGAGTTCGCTCTTATGGATTTTCGCGTTGATACTTTGCAATTCACATGCTATGGAATGGTTGGAAAGTAGCATAGAAATATGTAGTAAGAGGTTTGATAGTACATAAGAAGGAATTGATGTCGTCCTCTCCACGATATATTCATCTTGCCAATACTGTCTACCCGTGGACGAAGAATATATTTTTTTATTTTAAATTGTTGAAAAATCAAGGGTTTTAACAACCATGAGACCTACATTGTCTTAATTGTCTACCATTGTCCCACTGTCCTACCATTGTCTTAAAAGTGCTTCAGGCTATCCGCCAACTAAAATTCATCAAAAACGATGGAGCAGTTTTTGGGAAAAAAATTTTTAACAAAATGTAAAAATTGCCCATAATTCACGCACCTTTACGCAAAAATACTCAAATTTTCAAAAAATTGTACATGATATTATTTCAAAATCTATCTTTAACGAAGAGATTTCAGTAAGGAAAAAATCTCTATCTGTAATATTTTAGTTGCAGGAAGACGCCAAAAAAAATTTCGAATCTTTTCAATTTTAGAAATTTCAGAGTTTTTATCCAACATGAGACCTGCGCCAATTTCTTTAACTTCCATCAGACTATGTACCAACAAAATTTAATCGAAATCAATGGCGGCATTTTTTTGAAAAGTTTGAAAATGTCCCATTTTAAAGTGCCATCCAAAATTGAATTATCGGTTTCACATGAGACAGATCGACTGGGGAATATCAATTTTGGAGAAAATCGTCTGAACATTTAGCCGCTAGCGTTGTTCACAAACAGAAAGAAAGACGGACGGACAGACGTTTTCGATCGTCAATCGATTTTTCGGTATCATGAACCCCTAAAACAAGGATTCTGGCTACACCATGCTTTAGAGGATTTTTGTGTAAATTTAGCAGCTGGATTGATCCATTGCTAAATTCGTTACCAAGGCCCTGTAATAAGAGTTTTTCTGCCGAAAATTCGCCGTTTTTTCGCGCAGGATTACCTAACTTTCTCTTCTTAAGACTTTCTTCTTAAGCGCGAGAAAGTAAAAACAAAGCAAGGTCGCTATTCCACGTTTCCTTATGTTGGAGTGGAAACCGATTGTGCCTCAATAGGTTTCTTCGGGTAATGAGCGAGGTTACAATAGCATTAGCATTTGTTTTCAGGTGCAACTGAATCCGGTGTCTCTTCCAAGTGTGGAAGTTTGAAATGGTGCTGTACACTACAGTGGGAACTTATCCAACTTTCTTCGTTATACAGAGATTTCATTAATTTTTAAAAACATTGTTATGAAACTTACATTTCCAATAAACTGGATTCCCCATATCACCCTCGTAAAACGTCGAAATTTCGGATTACTCGATTTACCCGATCTCTGAGTTGGCATGATAGTTTTTTTCTAACTGAAAGGAACTTTAATATGTTGAACGGCAGTTCCATTACGTGGATGGATATCTAAAGCTTTGGGTACTATATATAATAGCTCTTCGAAGAAAAATTATATCTTAAATTAACGCTTTCTATAATCGTGTTAAATCGAAGACTGATGGCGACTCATTACGTACATGCATCTTAATGCCGGAACCTGATTTGAAATTTACATTATGTTTCAATCGGTCTGTCCATTAACTGCTTATTGCCTTTTGTGTTCTTCGCTGTGGCGCTAGCCGTTCCCTGATAGTGACTTCTTGTCACGAGAACCATGCGCCGCCTCTATTGGCTCCGATCTCCTTTAATGGTGATAATTTCTCTTATTCCCAGCGTGAGTTGCGTCTTCCCGTCGCGTTTCTTTTTTTCCAACCGCGCGTTATTGGCTGCATGCGGGAGTCGGCCAACACCAACACCGCTAGCAGGACGTCTCTGTTCGCGCGGGACAAGGAGTGGGTACGACGACTCCTCTTCCAAGTGCCGGGAACCCTTCTGCCAAGTCACCGTGCACTTGGCGCAATGGAATCCTCGTTTGTGGCGCGTGCGTTCTCTGAAACGAGGGCTACAAGAGAGAGTCGCCGGCGAATTGGCGTTTTAAAACAAAACGCTCTACATGTGCCCTCTCATCATCTGTGTTTTTCTACAGAAAATCAAATAATCAAATGTTTACGTTTAAATTCTTAATAAGAATTTTTGGGATTTCTTACCTTCGTGTTTTTTACGGTAATCACCTTGGCAGTATCTTTGGGCTCTTAGTATTGATTTCGACTGTTCCTTACAATTCATACTTACAATTCATTCCTGTTCGTACAAACCGTGCCAGTGCGTAAAGAAACTAATAAGAAATTTCTGTATTGATTTATTATTTTTTTGTCTTTATGCAAGTGTTCAATCTAAGTTTTAAAAAATCTTCTGTTTTTGTGTGTGATAACTCTAATTGGATCAGAAAAAATGGTGGTCTAGAATGAAACCATCGAATTTCCGAGTTCAAAATGCCCTTTGTTAGCCTTATTTCGATAGGGCGAATATTTAATTTGTGTTAGTTTTGAACCCTTTCTGCTGATAGATTACTAGCCTGACTGACGTTTTCCTAATTTGTGGTCCGTAATAGCTTGGATCTGCTCTGGAAGCAAGTAGCCTCATCACAGAGCAAACTGTCGAGTATGAGTGTGCATCTGGGGTGAGCAGCTGCACCGCTGGCGTCCGAGGCCATCCACCCACGCCGCCGCCGCCGGCCACCAGCTCCGCCGCGCCGCGCCGGGCGTGAGGTGATTCCGTCCGCTTGTTTTTGGGCGCGCGCTTACTCAGAAGCGACCGCAAAAACGCGTTTCCCTCTAAACGGACACTTAGCGCCTCCGTAATGCTGCATCACCTCCCGAAATTCGGTTTTACCCTCCGCCTGGGAGCAGTGCGCCGCGGCGCGTGCTTCTCGGAGGGGTCGCCGGCTTCTTAACGCCCTCTGGCGGCGGCGCGGCTTCTCAGGCGCAGGTTGAGGAGCTCGAAGTGCCGTTTTCGTACCTTCTTTTTTGGAGGGTCGTTCTTTTTTTCTCGGCGAGTTACCTAGGAGTCGCCTGAAGCCCCTAGCAAAACTTGTTTTGTACTTAATCTCCTCCCTGCACTGATAGGCGCAGGGGGCTATGCCATGTAGACGTATTGAGACAGGATTATTGCAGTACCACTGTATTATAAGGCATTCGGGTTAAGTACTGAGAGAATTCGTTGTTCATTTTTTGCTGTGGCGCTGTCACGTTTGAGGTTTAGATTGTAAATTTTCGACATTTCCTGTGCCCATTTTATGTTCATTCATTTGAAAGTTAGTTATTTGTTAACATCTGCGTGGTAAATATACTTCTAGTAAGTTAATTAATCACCAAAGATCATAGACGTACTGCGATGAAGGATCAGTCGAATGTTATTCTTGACGATGACTGAAATCGTTATACGAACACTAGGAACATTATACTAGTTATTTTGAGAATAATACAAACGAAACTTGTATATATGTATTTCACTTTAGATTTGTGCCTACAATTGTTTTGAGATCTTTTTGAAGTTTACAGTAAGTCATGATTGTGTGAAATGACGAAAATATGATTTTAGAATTTTCACTAAAATGTTTATTATGATATTTAAACCGTTGAACGTAAATCTCTGAATAGTATATCTCTGCTGTGTGGCAATTAGAAACCAAGAAAATCACGCAGAAATGCCAAACAAGTATTCAATTTCACAGTTGAATCGAGACTTTACCATTATATCGTCATCCAAGTTTCGGGTTGCATATCAAGTTTCTTGTGATCATTTCAAAATGACATACTGGTAATGTTTGCTTTCTTGTTTCCTTATACCAGTTATGCCTTAATGAGTTATGGGCGCATACTACAATGTTTGTAGCGAACTTTCTCTGTTGGCACGTAAGCGCGGCCGCATATGTCTTTTGAAGATCTTGCGGCCGTTTTAAACCCCTGCAGGGATGCCGTTGTTTATGCGACGCTCTGAGCCGCCCGCGTGGAGGCAGGCCGTTATGCCCCGCCCCGCCCTCGCCGCCGCCCTCTGCGATCGCAGGGTCTTTTTTTGCTCCGAGAGGTCACGAGTTTCTCCAAATTGAACTCGTTTAACGCGCCGAGTCGCTGCACGGACCTCTGGCCAGGGCTGTCCACAATCCTGTACGATGACATCGCCTTTAAACGGAAGTCTAGTGGTATTTGGTTTCGATGCATTTTCTGTAGCTGTGTAGTAATAATAAAGTATTTGTTTCTCTTGTTCGAATAATCATTAACAAGAAGTATAAAACTTGATTATTTTTTCATCAGAGTCATTAGATGTCATGGTTTCTTAGGTGCTGGGCATTTTGGCTTGGAAATAGTGAGAGGAGTAAATCAATTTAATTAATTTTGAAATATTCAAATGTTAAATACGAGGTATTCTCGGCGTCCTTTCTGTTCGACCCAGTTATCTTAATTGTGTGGTTTCTGCAATGAATGCAACATTATAACCAAAGTACTCAGGCATAACAGTACCCTTAATACGTTAGGAGAATGTGATGTAGTGGTCAGCTTCTAGAACTGTTAGCAGGATATATGTTTCGAAAAACCTGTCTAAACGACCCGTTATTCGGAGAATTGTTTTTGCAATTGTGTGACACGCAGATACTAAGAGGATTGGCATCAACACCTGTTTATGAAAACTGGTTCAACGTTATAATAACGGGAAATTATTTCATCTCACATTATGGTTGGATATTCTTGACCATATATTTTAACACGTTTGTCAAATTAATTAATCCTTAATATTCGTGGGCAGGTTTCCTTTTGGTCATTACGGTATGTGGTAATGTTTCTACGATTTGAATGCGAGGGAAATAGAGCTCACTTGGCCGCATTGGGGCCATCTTCCCTTTAGCAGAATCGCTTCTCTCTAGGTGTGTGCTAGAAGGTTCGAATCCCAAGGAAATTGCATTCCTTTGCGTTTTTAATTTCGCTGTGTGTAGTAATTTCCTTAATTGATACATGCTTACGATTTACTAAAAAAATAGCAGACAGAAAGATATTGAATTTGTATACACAATATGCTCGAAGTATGCCTTGTGTAGTATGTTTGCTCGTGGATGTGCCTTGTTTCATACAAACAAAATACAATGTAATGTATAAAATGCTCAGCTTGAAAGTTAATCTATTTAGTTCCTTTTGACGAGAGATTGTCAGACAAATGGCAAAAATGCATTTATTAAATAATTTGTATAAAAACATAACAAAGAAAATAAATGACAAGAGGACATTACGGCGACGCCCACCCTGGCGCAGTGCGTGACTGTTACGGTGCTCGCGTCTGTGAAAGCTGTGAGTCCTCCAACCCCAGCCATCTTTGCCGTCATGCTCGCCGTAGGGCGTGTATTTTGGAGAGTCCTTAGTATCCCAGAATTTACTATTCGGTTACTTCTCCAACTGTTGTTAGTATACTCATCTACCATGAGATCTGTTCGCTAAATCCTGTGTCTTGAGTTACAGAACTGCGCTTTTTGCAATGAACAGAATTGATTCATTTACATGTTTGACTATCGGATCATATTTTTGAACATAAGTCGAAATTCGTGTAACAAATTATTTCAGATTTGTTTATCTGAAGGATTCAGATCTATCTACCAATCAAAACATTTATTTCGCCTTGATTATGATTAATGGTTTCTTATTTGTTATTAAACAATTGAATTTAACTGAATTATTAAAATCAAAATTAATCTGTCCATTTAATTCGTTATGTTGCATGGATGAATGTTATCAGCCCGCCTGATGACTGTGGGATCGTCCCAAAATGTTACGAGTTATTATAACGAAATACACTGTAAAAGATAAATGTTGAATAGAAAGAATAAAAATTTGGAGAAGAAAAAAAATTGCACGTTTTTTAAACCTTAGTGGGATTAACTTGCAATGCTAAGACGATTTCATTTTACATGTTCCTTTCTTTTGTCGTCGACGTATATGAACAGAAAATTTTAGTATTATAAAGCAAAATCTTTTAGTTATTGTCCTTAACAGATTAATGAATTTGAGGGGTTTTGGTTTGGATGTGACTTTTATTTTTTTTAATGTGGAATTTAATGTCAATGAAGAACAGGTTATGTAGTGAATTACTTAAACTGAACGTGATAAGCTCTAATTCCGTCGTTTCAAGAATGTGTGTGAAAATGCATGATTTCAAGAACGAAGTAACAATTTTTGTTTAATACTGGTTTGATATAAATCAACGCAAAATGGATTTGGTTTTAATTGTTCATTATGATTGTTCAAAGTCACATTGAGTACAAAATCCACGTTAATTACTGAAAACCACCCCGATCCAAACATGACTACCATTTTTGAGTACACTGAAGAAGAGATCTCGCCATCTTTCCGTCGTAACTGTGCTACAGCCTTCCGCCCTAGAATGGTGTATCCACCTTACGTCACGCTCGCAGCTCGCGAATTCGGCGCCAGGTGCGCCCTCCCTTCCACCCATCCATCCTCCCTCCTCCCCCGCTCCCTCCCGGCCGCCTGCCCGCCCCTTCGCGGATCCCGCTAACGGGTCGCGACGCGGCGTGGCGTGGCGTGGCGTGGCGTTTCGCGTGCCTGCCCTGCCGCCTGTTGCGCGAGTGGCCCACACCGAGTAAGTGGCCGCCTGCCTAATTTCACCTTCGACTCGCACTCGAAGCACGCCGCCCGAACAACCGGTCTTCGAGCTCACGATGACTCTTCAGCCTCTAGGTGTGCGCGAACGATGAACTTTGGTTTAGGAAGGGCCGGGTTCAAAGTTGCCTCACAATGGGCGATGGATAAATCCACCGACCATCAATCATGATGGTTTGGCGGTGGTTGTTGTTTATTACTCGCGTGTGTTATCACGTTTTACATTACGGTCCCCTAACACAAGATTCTTCCTTATGTTTGTTCGCATCATAATAAATATGCGTGAAATAAGATCAAGAAGGAAACATCTCGACTTTTATTTCGTTATACTGGAAGTCAAAAGTTATTGAGATGCTGTGAATAGCAGGTTTGTGCGTACTAATATCTTGATCCTGATGTGCATTTGCCACGACACTGAAACGCAAAGATACTGCAGTGCGTAAAAAGGTAGGATCCATTTCGCTGAATGCGATTGAGGAGCATTTCAATGTCAGTCAAGTGATAGCTTTTCCATCGGGTTATGTTGAAAATGGTTTAAGAGGGAATGAAATCTTATTAATGAAGAATTATAATTACAGTTATAAGAGATATTCATATGGGACCGTTGATGTTTTATTCATTTGCAGTTATGAGACTATTAATTGAGGTCGATAATTCATTAAAACCTAGTTCTTGTTCACTGTATCGCTGTTATGTATGAGCATAACGTCAATAAGCCCATTCTCGCGTGAATTTCTTGCATAAAGAAAAGAAATGGGTATTGCTATTAAGATTTGTCATTGTTTCTTTAGACATTCGTAATGTAAAGCAGGGATTTGGCGGCGCTTCGTTTAATATAACGTTTGGCGTCAGTACAGTATCTGAAAATACTATATTAAATAAGGTTATTTTTGTGACCGTCTGTTTTAATTTTATGGATTATAGTTTCAAATAATTATAGACAGTACTGTAATGTAATAAAAATATTACGAATTTGAATGTCTCTAACAGATAATATAATGCACAAAAAATTATATTTTCACGTTTGTGTATTCGAAATTCGGTATCTATACTGAACCTTCATGCTTGGAGCAAACCCTAGCGAACTTCAATGGGTTTTCTCGATATTTTAAATATTATTTAAATACATTATATTAAATACATACTATGCAGTTCTAATTCATATTAACAAACTAGTGTCAAAGAGCTTTTGATAGTGTTGGACAACGAAGAGGCACCAAATTCAAAAATGCCCAGCGTAGCAATTCATGTCTAAGGTAGGTTGGCAACGGACATGAATTCAAAGCACAGGCTTTAGAAATAAATTGCTTTATCAAGAGAAAGAAAGTGTTGGGTCCATTTTTTTTTTAATTACTATGAAAAGCCTGAAGAAGTGTTAAAAATAAAGATAGGAATGTTCTTGATTCGTGACTTTATTACGACAATTGCTTTTATTACATATATTCATTTAGCTAGACTGATGCAATCAGTGCACGGCACCCGGGTTCTTCAATGCCAAAATCCCCGAATGAGGACACCTCCAACAAAATGACAACGAGACCTAACTACGCCTGTGATGGTGCTGTGTTATGACTCATTCATCACAACCACTAAACCCGATTTACATGAGCTTGCTTTTCACGAACGATTTTCGACGTTTTAGCGAACACGCCTATGTGGGTAGTGACGTCAAGAGGGCAGAGCCGCTGTGCGAATGCGCGCGTTCGTCAAAAGAAACGTGTAAAGAGCCAAAGAGAAAACAACTATATGTCTTGAATCAACCGAACTGCCGTGAAGTACTTGGAAGCAGATCGAGTATTGATGCGCCCCCCGCCAGGCGCCACGTGTCGTGTCGTAACGCGGCGCGGCGCGGTTGCAATTCGCTGGAAGGCGTTTGGCTTCGCGCGAGCGGACGCAAGGCGGCGCGGAAGAGGCTCTGCGCCCCGGCAGCCGCGTCCAACGAATTGTCGCGCTTTCGCTCCGTCGCCACGGCGCCTCCCCCGCTGCAGTTTCCCGTGCGCGCCGCTTCCTGCGCCTGGGCGTTGGGCAATGGTGGCAGCGACGGGGCCTCCCACGCCCCCCCCCCCAGATCGCTCCGTTCAGTCGTACCGGCCCCCCTCCGCTCCGCCCTGTCTGACAATTCCCGTCGCACCGACTCGCTGAACCCCTCTCCACCTCGCGCCGATCCGATCTGACCCGCACACCCCAACCCTAACTCCGACTCCATCAGACTTGCTCCGTTGCCCTCCCCTGTCGTCTTCCCTTCCCGTTCCCATCGTGCTTTTTCGTCTGTATTTCGTTTCTTCAAGGGTTTTCTTTCCTGGTGAATTTTAAAATTTTTAAAAAAATAGTTAATATTTGCCATAATTGCCTTATAAATAGCGTGACTCAGCTGACAAAAACTTGGTATGTGATGGAAGAAGCCTTAATGTAATTTTTATCATTAGATTTTCCGCTGTGATGTTCCAGTGCAGCGCGGTAGAAAAAAATAATGTGCTCGTATTTACTCTATTCAGTTATGTTGAATTTTTTTAGAACAATTTTTGTAGGATATTGTAGAGTATTTAAGATTTTGGAAGTTTATGTTATCTGAGAGTTTGGGGGGTTATTTCAAATGTTAGTGGATTTCACAACCATGTGGGCGTAAGCGGGCGAAGGAATCCGCTGACACTGCTTAAAATCAACGGGACGGTAATTGCAACTGCATGTCTTGCGACCGGC